CAAAACCTTGTCGAAACGTTGTACATTTGCTGTTATGTTAAACCTATATTAAAGTTTTTCTTCATTACCCATTCAAACCGTCTCCAAGCATTACTTGCATAACGTGTTCTTTAGTGTTAGCTATAATTTTCCTTTTCCTATGTTATTTAGGTTACATTTGTAGTACCAAAATTTTTTGGATTTGTCTTGAACTCTCTCTGTCCATGGGCTTGTGAAGCAGTGTTTTCTATCCACTTAGTTGTCCTAGCCTTGAACCATATAATATATTACAAAGGTAAATGCAATAACTAATTAACAATAACAAAATTAATAAATTAATATAGCATTAAAATTTGCAAGTATCAAACATTTCATTACCATAAGAAAACAAAACAAAAACACAACAAGTTTTCTCATACTATATAATTCCAAAAAGTATTTCCTTTCACGATGAGTAAAGTGTTGAGAAGTTCAACCATGACTATATATTACTGTGAACACATAAAAATTAACACGTTACAATCTTTGTTAGTTAATTTAGTTAATTTGTAAATTGTTATTTTATAAGTTTGAATTTCAGAAGTTTGTATTAAAAATACATCATTGATATACTTAATGTATAGTGTATATTAATGAACAGTAATTCTATAACGAACTTAAGCATTATTAGAAGTGGATTTGGTGTGATGCACATAAGTCAACTATAATTACTATTTCCATAGTGTATTTTAACTGTGAGTCTGTTTGTCAACTGTGTATTAGAAACCAGGACTTCAGCATATAACATGTAGGTCTCATCTGGTAGTTTAATTTGTGATTTGATAGAATGCATGAAGATATTATTTACATTGATAATGGTATGCTGCAATGCAGTATAATAATGTATAATAAAAAATATGATTAAAAGCAAAGAATATATATCAATATGTCAACCATACAATCTGCTATATCTAGTGCTGATGAGGCCTTGTGGTCAATACTAGGGTTCATCAGTGCAGCTTGGAAAAGATAGACATAATAATTGTCGATGCATTATTTATATCAGTTTGATGAACAGCATTTTTATTAAATATTTATCTCTATAAGTTTTCAAAGCCTTTACCAAGTTAGTCTGGACACAAGGTGATTTTCATGTTAAGAGTAAAAATACTCTTTTCATCTTAAAGTTTCATATTTCACTTTCATAACTTCTAAAACCTCTTAAATGAATACCAAAAGTTTTTTCTAGCAAAACTTTATATTTTACCCGTTATTTTCTTTTTCTTAACACAAACTGTATACAGGCTTGGTCAGTTTATCAACCTTGTAATCATCACAGATAAATAATACAAAATAAATCTAAATTATTCTTTTTTTTTCTAAAATGACTGCACATTGTAACAGACAATTACACACCATTTATTCTTACAGCCAAAGCTGATAAGACTTCATTTAGTTTTATTTCTTTACAGTTGCACTTAGACCCTCTCAAAATATGGCAAGAGTTATTTATTATGCAAAAACTATATGTAACAAAGACTCGCGTTACCAGCATGCATGTTAAATTATTCAGTCATGCCTTGGAATGTGCATATACTATCATGAGAAATTTGTATATTTAATTTTTTCATTTAAGTTTCTAATTTTTTTTACATTTTTAGCTGCTTTTATAACAAGTAAAAATATAAGAAAAAAACAAGAAATTTATTACTTGTGTCTGGAACTTTGTCTTTTTTTTTCAAGATTTTGAACTCTTTTTTAAGAAGTCCTTGATGCTTGATAGGCTATTTTGTGATAGTAGTGTTGTCTTACAAATGATTTTTTTAAGTTCAAATATTTTATTTATAATGCAAAATATTGCCACAGACAAAAAAACAATGTCCTAAAACAACTATAATTAAACTGGCTTTCTAAGGTCTAAATGGGTTATAATAATTCTGATTGCTGGTCGAGCTGAGCTCCAGTGATGGCAGACAATGAAACTAAGAAAAAATTTCAAAACCTGTCATGTGAACAATCCTTGCCTTGTAGTATTCAGTAAATTGGAACTTCTTTTTCTGTTGGTTAGAAATAATCCAATAGCAAATGTTAGAGAGGATTAAAGACATTTTTTGAAAGACAGAATATGTTAGGAGGGGTGTGATGTGTTGGTTTCATTCTACTTCACATATCTTGGGAAAGCAAGGAGCTTAGGGATTCTAGCTTTACATTAGCTCTGGGATATCTGTAATATTAATGGGTAGTTTATGGGAAACATAGAAAATCATATACGGGTAGAAAAAATCTAAAATGGACAATTTGGATTGCAGAAGTGTCATGATACAGAGAAGTGAAGATTGGTAATTTATTTAAATATTTCAGTTTGACATTAAGAAATTAAAAGTTATATTAAAATTGAATTATAAACTACATTTTGATGCCAAGTGTATTGACAGAAATTAATAATAAAGTTGTTTAATGAAATTTTGAATGTAAATATGAAAAGGTTATGACATGCACCCTTCGGCCCACCCAATTTCAGAGGGTTGATGAAGTCCAGTCATATAGAACTCTTGTTACTAGTACTTTGGAATGTCTCAGTGCTTAGGCCTTTGCTTTTGTTACTTACAATAACAATCTTGATAGGGGCATAACTAATTAGTTAGTAAAGTTTGCTGATAACATTAAACTGTCGGGCACTTTTAACTATATTGAGGATGTTGATCAGTGTTATATAATGACTTGGATTAGTTGTTAAGTTAGACATATATTAAGCAATTACCTTACATCATAGTAAGTGCATATTAATGCATTTGGATTATCATAATTTGATCACAAATCTAATGTAGATGGGAATCCATTCAGTAGTATGACTGAAGAATAGTGGTGGATTAGTCACACAAGCCATTGAGGCAGTGCTTTGTCTCTAATAGTAAAGCTCATTGATTTTTTTCGTTTGCATTTGTATATTGATTACAAGTCAAAAGAGGTGTTGGATATACATGACTCTTCCATCTAAATTTAAGAAGAGAGCTATAATTATATAGCACTAGTGTTTAATGTAGTATTTTTAGAAGCGATAATTTATCACAGGTTTCCTTACATAACTGTTTACGAATCATTTGTTGTTTAGTTCAGTTGTTGGGAGTTGACGTCACATTACTCGAACCTTCTGAATTTTTCTCATTGCTTTAAATGAGTATTGTTACATCACAATGTCTCATAGTTTGTAGAAAGTTTTAGGCCTCAGTCATGCAATATATATATATATAGGCCATCAAGGTAGTAAAGTAAGTTAGTGAAAGTAAAAGTGAAGTTAAACTGTATGTCAGTTTAGCCGTAACAGATGGTTTCTAAAGTGACCTTAACAGCTTGCATTGTAATAATAAAGATAGAGGAGAGTAATTTGTCTTCTCAAAGGAATGTTCTAAAGTAATTGAACCCGCCTGTGTGGACTTTGATGAAAAGAAGACAATTATTTAAAGTTCTGGATACAATTGTGGTAACTAACAGTTATAGTGGCAATTTTAAATTGAGTGTTAGAGCCTTGTATTATAATAACAGTGATAGAGGAGAATACTTTGTGTTGTCAAAGGGTGTTCTAAAGTAATTGAACCCACCTGTGTGTAGTTTGACAAAAACGAGAGAATTATTTAAAGTTCTGGATACATTTTTGTACACACGTGTGACTTGTTTTGAATATATTATTTTAAAACAAGTTGATTGTGTGCTGTCTGTTTTTTTATTGATATTTATCACCAACAAGTCACAGACACCTACTGTAAAGAATCTGGCTGTATAAAACCTGATAAGAGGTAATTTAGCTTGATATATACCATTAGCTAGGTATCACTTGGAATATTGTCTAAATTTTTTGTCTCCTTTAATACAAAATTATTTACATATTATGCAGAAACTGGTACACTATGTATGCTTCTTTTGACATTCATATCTCAGCTGGATGTAAGGACAGAAGTTCTTAAACTTCTAACAATACAACCTGTATGATAGTCATCATGCAATATTAATAATCATAAATGGGAGAGAATTTAAGTTATTAGAGTTTGATGAATTGTCTTGTTAACAATTTTAATATCATATTGACCTTGACCAAAAAATAGATTAAAAAGGGTTTCTTTTCTAGAATGTTCTACATTATCTAATTCTGAAATTAGTTGTTTATAACTTATTTTTATCCATGTTGCATTATGTATACGGTTCTGTTTATCTTTCTAATATGTATCATTTAGACTAAGAAATTATTTTGTTACGTACCCATTAAGTTTTGAGTAGCATGTAATGGACAATTTCAAATTGTTAAAAGCGAGGTTTCAGTTATGATGTGATGCAAATTTATTATTGACTGTAATGAAATATGGGAAATTATAGTAGTAAATGTACCATGAAAAACTTGAATGAGCTTTTTAAAGTATATGAGTGAAATATACCTCTAAAGCCTTTAGCTAAATATTTATCTATTGTTAAAAAATTAAAATTGTGAAAACTCTTCTTATTGGAATTTTAAGTTTAAATTCAATAATGTTACAATGAGGTTTCCTTTGGAGTAAGTACTCTGTGCAGTTTTGACCTTTTTACTACAGGTAAGATATCAACAAGAGAGTTCAGAGATGGGCATCCAAGATGAGAATATTACAATTTTTATCAAATTTTTTCCTTAGCATAAAAAGAAACAGATGTGACTTGATTTGGTCACTCAGAATTATTAGTGGTTTGGTTCTATGGGTGATTTATTTGATTGGAGGGATGAAAAGTTTGTTAATATGAATTTGAATGTTAAGGGTAATAGGTGTAAACTTCAGAAGTCTAGATGAAACTTGTTTGGTAAGAGTTATAATGTTGTTGAATGATTTGCTTGAAAAAGTATTGTCAAATTTATTTACATTTTTGGAAGGACTTTCTTATCCACACCTCTATTTTGCTATTTTAAGGGAACAAGATAAACTTATTAAATCTTACTGTTGTAATTGTTTTTGTAATTTTCATTTGTTATAGATTGAAGAAAAACCACCAGAAGGGAAGAAAGTGCCTCTGAATAAATACCCTGTTCTTTTCTTCGGAACATATGAAATGTAAATATAACTGTCACCATTTCTTTGAAAGATTTTGATTTGAAATATAGATTAGATTAAGAAACAAATATTTTGAAAATGACCTAGTACAGCAGATGAAATATAACGTAACAAAGTTTGTTATGTGTAGTAGAAACAAAATTCATGCCAAAGTTGACTAGAGGAATTGTGATTTCTCATTAGAAATTCTTTAACCATTATACAAGGATAAATAATTTAACTTTTAACAGACCACTATTCTATTTTTATAATAATAATATACATATACAAACATTGAGATTGTACCTTCAAGATCTACATGCTAAATTACCATACATCTCAGTTTTTCATATCACTAATACTCTGACAGATTTGTGAATAGTATACTGTATGTGGTTATAAGGGACTACTAATGTAAGTCATCTGTGATGTTAGGTAGCAGTTCTAGTTCTAAACGTTGTCTCTAATATCATATCCCATATTTTATTTCTATGTGTAATTCATAGACTTTTATTTATATGTTATCATTTCTGACAATTTTATAACAAATTTTACTGTTTTTGCACAGTTGTTAAAAATCTGTCTCTGTGATGGAGCATTATTAATTTTTGATTAATTGGACGAGCAAAATAGATTCTTCTTTTGTGATAGTTTCCTGTTTTAAAAAGTTGAAAATTATCAAAAAATAGTATAATAATACTCATTGCACTTATAAAATTTTTTCTTACAAAAATGTTTCTTAGAAAATGTAGTTTCATTGATTCATAATATAAATGTCATATAGTATAAAAATAACTACAAATATCTAGAGGGTGACCAAGAATAACTGGCAAGAACCACAATAAGAAAGCAAAAATGTACAAATCTAGTGAGTTAGTGGAAATAACTGTCCAACTGTTACACTACCACCTGAGTAACCCAAGTGTATTATTAATGGCATTCTTTAAATGTAAGAGCAATGATTATAATAATGTAGATGTATTTTGTGTAACACTTGTGTAACTAATATGTTTGTTACTGTGGCTTTTAGCTATTATTCATCTGGTACTTAATGATTTTGTTTGTTGTTATGCTTACAGAAAACAAATTAATCAGAAACACTTTTTGACACATTTACGTTTGGTTGTTAGCTTCAGAGGGCTTTGAGAATTATGTAAATGTGTTTCTTTGACTACACAACATCTAAACTGATATTCTTTATTTTTTTTGCTTGTCTTATTACCAAACATTTGTCTTGACAAAGAATACACACACACTCGTGTTCTTATGTAACACACAGTTAAATGAATGGAAATATCTTCCACAAAGCATTGAAACTCACTTATTGAATATAGCTTCAGAGACCAGCATCACATTTCAAACAGACAGTAAAACCAATGCTGTGCTTAATGTCATTTATTTATGTAAAGAAACAAAACTGAAGAATGTTAGTTGTAGTCTGTTCTCAGCCCAATGACTATGTTACTGATACTCAAACTGATATCCTAGATTGCGTCCTGGCTAATCCTCTAAATTGTAATGGAACCTACAAGATGTTAAAAGATACTGTGATGTCAAAGATAATCTTTTTCTTACAGGCTACATTTGGACACAAGACTTTGAATATCTTGGCCTGTTCATGATTGGTGTATGCAATTGGCTTTTAAATTATGACAGTGAGAGGTGATATATATAATAGGACCCTTGTGTAATTATAAATGAATTTTTAACTTCTTCATATTTATATAACTAGTTAGATTAATATTTATTATGAAAGTTCAGCCCTTACTGGTTCTTAAATTTAGTTTAACAACTTCATTTTTGTTTTTTTACTTAAAACTAACGCATTTTACTGATATAAAGAGGTATAAACCTTTAAGTGATTGAGAAAACCAACAACTTGTAAGTCAGACTTCAGGTGAGGTTGGATATGATAGACAGTTGTGTGAAGCATTTCTTGTGAGATGACAACTTACCTCGACACACAGAAATGTTATCTTCCTTACACATCTACCTGTGAGACTTGCATGTAACTAGCCTTGAGTTATCTCCCACCTAAATTCATGTGTTCAACTTGAAATGTGCTGGTACATGATGATGTCATCATATGAAAAAAGTCCTCCGCTATTAGGAGTGTAACACAACCTCCATGTGTAGTAACTCCCCCTGTGCACTTACACTCGTGGTAATTTCATTCTTTTCTTTGGTGCTGTCTAGAATGGACGTTTTTAAATTTATTATTCAATTATGTGAGATTTGCAATAGTTTCCAACATTTGAATTTAGTTAAGGTGTAACTGGTTTCCTTTTTACTGGAAAATGGATATCGACTTTGAATGATATTTTTTTTTTCATACTTACCCATAACTACTTCTCAAGTGTCAGTGATTTTCTCTTTTGTCCTATGGTAGTGACGTTGATCTTAACACAAGGCCTTTGTCTCTCATTGAGGAGGGTCTCGTTGTCAGTGGTGGGTGTGACAGATATTGCTCGACTGGTTATGCTTTCCTTTATTCACACTGGGCCTTCTCCCATTTGTTAGGCCTATGTTTATTCTCCCTATTTGAATGTGGTGGTGATTTTTTGACTGGATTTTTCTGTTTTAAAAGTTTGCTTTAGGAAGGGTATTATCTGTGTAGGAAAATCTTCACCATTGTGTTTTCTCCCTTGACATCATTTTCGGGTATGTTACTTCTTTCTCTTTTCCCTTTGTCTTCTTATTCTACCCATACATTAATATATGTCACACAAGGCTGCTTTTTCTTATCTGTTTCACCTGCTTTCCTAATCTATACAGACTTGTTTTTTGAATAACTCAACTCCGGTACTACCATGCTTCATCCATCTTTTTTTTACTGGTCTCTTTTGTTATGGCTTACAGCTTTTCTTCATTTCAGTTACTCAGTTCCCAGTCTTTAAACTTTTTTATTTATCTACTTAGAGGAGTGAACCCCTTCACTTCTATTTCCCTTACTGGTGCCCAGTTTTTACATATTTGTCTCATCTCTTCTACCATCCTACATTTCCTCCTGCCACTTCACGTTATGTTCGAGGCACTTCATCATACTCCCAGGAATTTCTTTTCACAACATGAATCCACACTACTTTTTTGATTCACCACATCTTACTTCTGTTGTTGGGTAGGGATATTTTTATAACTAATGTATGCCTCCTTCACATTTCGACTCATGGTCATAATAATAGGTAGGCAAATAATAATTTATAAGCCTATCTATTATTATGTGCTCCTTACTCAAGTATCTACTCATGGTCCTCATTGGGCACCTTTTCTTTGCCCATAGATCTTCAGGGATATTCCTGTCTTACTGGAGACCCAACCTGAGATGGTCCAACTTTTATCCCAGTTGTATACTTAGCTTCCCATCTTATTCTCCTCATCTTTCTGTTCCTGTTACTAGGACATCTGAATCCACGTTCACTCTTGTTTTTCCCAGCTCCCTGGTCTTCTTTTAATTTCTGGTATTGAGGTCATCACTCATCTCTTCAGTGTCTACCCTAACAGGTTTGATCCTGAGGGGATCATCTGTGGAAGGATATATATATATATATATACCCTTTTTCCTCTTCCTCTTACCTCACATATAATTTTTTCAGGCAAGGATGATGCTGCTTTATCCTCACATGTGGGATATGTCTCCGGCCCATTCCCATGGGGTTGGACTCCCTGTTTGTGTCACCTTCTTATCCCATTCATGTTATCCCTCGGCCTTGCCTGTATATCAGTGACAGTGGTGGGTTTCTCTGACACTCTCTTCTTCCAGGTCATCCTACTTTAGCCCATTTGGGTTGTCAATATCCACCATTATTAATTATCCAGTAGCTTTGTCAACATGTTTAGGCCTTTTCTCTTTACCACCATATATTTCTTCACCTATACTCTCCACTGCTTTTTGGTCCTTCTTCTTCACCAATCCCCTAATCTGATTCTTGTATCTGACAGGGACCTTAATGTGGTTTTGCACTCTCTCATACATGCGCCATTCATAACAATGCCTTCTTGTTCTTTGTGCTGTCTCTTTCTCTCGTGACTAACTTTCTCCTCCTCCTCATCTGTAGTTGCTGTCTTTCAGAGGCCTCATCTATACTTAGTGTACTTTCTTTTACCATCCTTTCCTCTATCCTGGCAGGACCTTTCTTATTTGTTCTTCAATTAACAGTCTACCATGGCCAGTTGTTGAGCAGCTTTATTGATCATATTACACCCTCCCCATTACTGGCACGCACTATTTTCTTTGCCTCTCCATGTTGTTCCTGTCCTTCCTTCTTTACTGTACCCCTCGTCCAACTTCCATGCCTGATTACGACCTTCCTGTGGCTTGACTTGCTCTCATACATACTCTGTTTGAGTCACTGGCTTCTTGTTCTTTATATTATCTTCTTGTCATGTCATGCTTTCTTCTCCTTCTTACCTGTGGTCACTATTGTTAAGATTATTATGCCATCAGTACTTCCCATATTCTCTTTCACTATGGTTAATGTAAGATTTATTTTCATTTTAGAGCTAATCTTGCACCCAAGGACCTCTTTTCTTATCAGGACTACAAAGAAAAGTATGGAAAACCCATGAAACGAAAATTTTTCAATGATGGATTATGGGAACTTGAAAACAATCCAAAAGTTGTCCCTCCGACACAAACGGTAAGTGTTTAAAAAACTAATAGATTTAACTTTTTTGAGTAACATAGTGAAGGGGTAACTTTTAACTCTAATTACAGTTAAAATTAAACTAATTTCTGGTTCTACATGTATGTAGAAAACAAAGGTTGTATTTTTTAGTTATTATCAATGTTGATTGTTTATCATGTGTTTTAATTACTCTTTGAAGTTCCCTACTGATTAATTGGTAGTTGCTTTTGGGTTTTAAATATGGTAATAAAGTATTAATCTGTTACTTTCTTCCCTAATCACACCTAATATTAATAGTTATATTTTTATTTTACACATAACTTAAGATGAATTGTAGTGACTTCACAATCATATTAAAGTGTAAATATTATCTCACATTGATGCAAAGGGGTGGTAAACTAAGCATTATTGGTTAGTAAGTATTTATGAGCTTATTTCATTGTACACTTAAAACATATTAATTAATATCAAGATATGTTTAACTTATAAAGAGACTCAATATTTTCATGATTATGAAATAAATTATTTACTGTTCATCAGTCTTGTGCTATTAAAATTTTGAAGAAAACGAGATCAAAATTGAAATATAGTTTGTGGTAACCTAACTAATCCATTTATTTTTGTGACATTTTGTTTATTGAAACTTTTTGTTACACGATACTGTTTCAGAAATGATAGATTCTTGTATGTATTAGTATCATCGTATGATATACTAATAAAAATATAAAAAATAATTTAACATAAACAGTTGTAATAGCAAAAACGAAAATCATTTGATATCAACCATTTTTCAAAACTTCATGTCACATTTTTCATGGAAAAGTATGCATATACTTTCTTGTCACTGCCTGCATTTTTCAGCTATTTGTAACATATTATTATAACTTTCTGTGAAAAGACACACTACTTTAGACAACCTAACCACAGGCACACATGTCAGTTATTCTTAAAATTATACATCGCCAATACCAACTAAGCCTAATTCAGAATATAAGATACTTAAATAAAAGTTTCCTTAATGCACATTTTGGTTTTTAATCATTTTATTTTTTTCAATTTTTATGTTAAAAATGATAAACTGCTCTTCTAAAATAAGTATTACAAAGAAAAAAGATTTAAATTTTTGTAAATGTTGGGAATTTGTTTTAGAATCAGAGCTACAAGCTGTGTACTGTTTTCATTGTCTTAATTTTAAACAATGCCAATTTTATTCTTTGTATTTTTAGCCACAGCAGGCATAGTGGCTCATAGAATGGGTCTGAGATTTTTTGTTATTTTCAAGTACAAATTTTAGCTCATATCTCTTGACCAATATGAGATCTAATTACAGTTTTCAACTCGGGAGGTCAAAACCCTTTTGATTAGTGTATTTGACCATGCCCAAGGTCTTATAGATCAATTTACTCTAATCCTGCCTAAAAGAATTTCAAGTGCCATGGCTATTGAGGATTCCCTCTTATTTAACATAGCCACTAATAACTTCAAAGTGTTTGATTTATCAAACAGCTAGTCTCCTTGGTAAACCAAGCTAATCAACCCTGAGTGTCTACATTCAGGACACATGATCATCCATCACCTTTTAATGTATTCACATCATAAGGTCTTCACAAGTAAAATGTGATGCTACGAAACTGTTAGGCCAGAAAACAAAAACATATGTCCATTTACCATAGCAATATCGGTGCACATAATCAGATGAACTATGAGCAAAAGTGTTTACGTGCTGTACAATTTGTAAATTTGTCTCAGCTTTGGCAAACATTTCTTAATGAATTTACTCTCTGGGAGCTATAAACTGTGTATTATAAACAATTGAATCCTACATAAGCATCGTCTCATGAAAATTACGAACAACTCTTTTTCCTATGTTGTCACATAATTTTATGTATAGTTAAAAATATTATATGTAAGTAGAAACATTAAGTGCTTAATCAAAACAGAACTGATTATTTTTCTATTACTAAAAATTAAATGCTATGATTTCCTTTTTTACACTCAAACTTTTTGTATAAATACCAGAATTTTTTTTTATATTCATTGCTTGTATTTAATGAATCAGCAAAGTTTGAGTAAGTGATTGTTGATGGTAAACTTTTATTTTGATCATCAACGAGAAAACTTGGAAATTCTTTAATTGATTCAGTATATATCTTCATTAAAAAGAGGTAATGTATATGATAGGTTTTCAATATGTTTCACTGGTGTGGAATTTTCTTTTAAGAACTTCTTGTCTAAGGGATGAAATGCTAGAAAAATCTACTTGCAACCTGCATTCCACAAGATGCCCACACAAATTAAATATACATTTTAAGATTTTGCTTTTATTAAACAATGAATTATAGTCAAAATTGCTTCATTCATCCAGTCTGTATTAGAAATGTGCAAACTTAAATAATAATAACATTGTAAAGAATGAAAATGAATACACATTAAAATATGCCTAGAAAAAATACTTATTGTAGAGCACTGAAAATAACATTTCAGCCAAATGGTCTTTATGAGAAGACAAGAAACACGATCAGATAGTAAATCATAATATTTTTTGCTTCATGAAAGCAACTGGAGAAAACATAATTCAGTCCAAACATACATGCCATAAATGAGCACTTCTAATTTTCGTATATAACACATGGTAAAACAAAAAGGAAAATTTTTATTTATTCATGTTTCTGATTTTGTACAAATTAGTTTTTCTTTATGGTAGGTAACTACGTATATATATATTACATGTTAGCAAACAATAGATTAGGACTCTATGTCAACTTTCTTTACACTGAAATTCATGTTTTGGTGAAGAAAAAGGAAATTTACAGGTAATTGTTTCATACATAATATAATGTGATTAATGTTCTGTTTCTCTAAGCAACCTCTTTAAAAAAAAAAGAGAGATATAGAGAGAGAGATCTGGATGGGTATATCCAAAAGCAGTAGGAGGGAGGGATGAATCAACAAAAGTACTTAATGATACAGAAATTGGAAAAGTGAGAAATTAATAACAACTACAAGAAATGAAATGCAGTAATGATACATATATAAATGAGAACATAAAAAATAATAGATATTAAATAAGACATAATATTACAGAGATGAAATAATTTTAATTAAGTAATAAGAATTAAAACACTATCAATACAATAATAAATTTATTTTGAAATGGAATTTTTTAAACTTTTTCAGAGAGACTTTGAGTTAAAGGGTGAAGATCATTAATACTGGGGTCATGGCTCATACTATGTGGGATGATGGTGTTTAAACAACTGATTCATTATGTCTCTTTTATTTCTATGTCAGCTTTTGATTTAAACCTAGTTTAAGTACCAATGATATCTGTGTTATAATTGGAGAGGTCGGGTATGGTTAAAGTGTAGGGGAACGGGGAGGTTTTTTTAAAGTCTTGGCAGAGAGTTTGTTATTAATAGCTATTAAGCTTTTCTGTAAGGGTAGTTTAAGTTTGACAAACATAATGATGGTTGAATGTTTTGAGTTTTTTTTATGTTGGTTATAGAAAGTGCTTAAAACTCTGATATTGAATATTGTTAAAGGAGAATTCTATCCTGTGGTGCAGTATAATTGAATTTTGCATGAACAGTGATATCCTTAAGCTTTTGTTTTTTCAAAATGAAATGAGGAATCATAGCAAAGATTTGATTTAGATGTTCACTGAGTTGAAGGAGATGAAAATGTTTATTTAAAGACTCTGTGAAGCATTTTCGAGTTTTAGAAAATATGTGCTAACCAGGGTAGCTGTTAGATTAATCGGGATGAGACTGATTGGGATTGTGTCAGCTCTTTACGTTTATTTTTTACTTCAGAAACTTGATATCCTCTTTCTATCACGGAAATTTTTAGGATCTTAGTCCTCACTGTTGTTAATGCAAATCTTTTTTCATGTGAAAGGTTTAACTGTAAATAACATTTCATTTGAAGTTGGCCAAATAACAACTTTAGTAGTGGAGATATTGTGGTCTGCCTGTGGTTTTTTTTTTTTGTATGGAGAAAGCCTTTTTTTTTATGATATAATAACATCAACAAAATGCATGTGTATTAGAGAATATTCAAATGTGGATTTTGTTGGTCAATGAAAGAGTTTGCATGTGGAAAAATATCTTTGAGGAATTGGGTTCTGGCAGGCCAATTGAAAAATATGTCATGAATGTTTTATTTCCTGAAGTGTAGTTTGATTTTTGGTTGCATCCATAAAGATATTTGCAAAGTTGGGCCTTTTTGCTGCCCATAATAACCCTGTTAAATTGAATGTAACATTCATTGTCGAATTAAAAGTTTTAAAGGGGTAAAACAAGATTGGCTGATCAGTTATTTTACTTAATTCAGGGTTGGTGAAAACATTTAAAGCTGTTTTAAGAGATTCTAGTTGTTTTATTTTTTTGTCTGTTACAACACTTAGTGTAAAGAACTGGACAAAAATTAACTAAAATTACTCATTTCTAAAAAATGTAAAATGCACAGAAAACTATAATATTGAATGCATTTTTATACAAATTTTTATGTGTTACTCATCATTTTTTATTGGGTAATCAGGATATTGAATTGGCTTAATTTCCTTTTTTTTTTCATTCAGCTTGTAAAAAAAATTACTTTGTAGATTTTACATGGGACCGTAAATACTTCACATGTAATTTTAAATTCTATGATTATTTATTGTTTATAAAAATGATGATTGATAACTTCCAAATTAGTAAGAGTTTATTATAAGCATGTAGTGTCCGACCAGATGAAGAGCTATTGTGTGAAGTGTCCTTTATAATAAAATCATATTAATTTATCAAGTTTACATCTTATTTTTTGCTTTTACATTCTGATATTATTCTCACCAATTCAGTACTTTAAAATTAACTTGTGCTTTTTCAAGCTGTTTGATTATTTAACTTACACTGAGGTTGCTGTAATTTATTTTGAAAAAATCGTATCGACCCGTGACTCGTGTTGATTTTATGAAATATTTTTGATTCCTGTAAAAACACAAGTTTTTATTTATGCTTAAATTTAGTTGCTTGAAACTTCTAACAGTTAATTTTCAAACAGGATGAAAGTCCTGATGATATGGAAGATGATGATGATGATGCTGAGAAGTCAAGTGATGATGAATCTAACTTAGTCATTGCTGAAGACAAACCAAAGGTTGGTCAAAGTTTTTATTTCATACTGATCTTATGAATAGTTGTATAGTCCTCATATTTTTTCTAAAAAAAGATTTTGGGGTGTTTTGACTCTTTTGTGTAAAACTGCTTTTTCAGGGTTTTATGATTTGTGTTGCTAGTTGTAAAGAAAAAAGTTAAATTTATTTGTGGAATAACATTAAAATGATTATTGATGCCACCTGACAGTGCCATTTATGAAGAAGAAGGTATGCTAGCTATGTCATGTCTGCTTATTGTAACAGTATAAGAATATTTGAGAAATAGTGGCTATAGTTCTTGTTAAAACTATGTATAATAGTTCTAATCAACTCACCTTGCATATGACATACCCCAGCATGTTAGTTTATATATTGGTAGATACTGCATATATTACTAATTTTAAGTGTCGGAATTTATACACTTACATTTGTTAGGTTCTTTTTAAATATAATCATACTGAATCTGAGTATTTTAATTTATTTTAAATATAATGTATTGCATGATTTTGATTGCTGAAAAAATTAATCACCAAGGCACAAACACTTATTCAGAAGTATTGTATTGTCTAATTATTTTAACCTGCAGAATTCTTGATAGAGTTCCTTTAAACCTTGCATGGTTCTTCTACTAGTTTTTTTTTTTGTGTTCACTCATAATGTGCTTTTGTTTTCTGTCTTAATACTAAGTTACTATCATATCTAAACTTTTTGTTGTTTTGAAAAACATTACGAGGGTTATAGCATTAACTTCTCTGAGTGTAGGTGAGGTCGTTTATCTTAGTTTATTGCTTTGTTGCAAATAAAAATTTTGAAAAGTTGAGTGGTTTCTGCAAAATATATCATTTTTTGTATTATAGAACAGTTTTAGCAATGATTTGATTTAATTGCATAACAAAAAGGCTGTTTCAGTGAACGTGTAAATATTTAACTTGAAATTTCTAGACCTTCATGAATTTACAAGTTAAAGTTTGGTGTAAATAAATAGGCTGTTTTCTCTTATTCACTGTATACCACTGAATAGGCAATAAATTTTCTAAAGTTAGGAGAAGAAAACTGCTCTTCATACTGCGAGACACATTTAATGGGTAATAAACATACACATAAAATCACATAATTTATATCACATGTGAAATATCTACCAGTGATTAATGATGTGAAAACATTTTTGTATAGTAAATTTACCACTGTTGTTTCAAGTTAAATTACTTTTTTATTTTTATAGAAATTTAACTTCTGTAAATAAATATTGCTATGCTATTAGTTTATGTAATAAAATAGATAATGTAAGATACTAATGGTCAACAAATATTCTACAAATTATTTGTGAAGTCCATAATGTTTCTTTCATTTATAAAGCTTTTTAAGCTGAAGTATTTTATAACTAAGAATAATGTTTTTTAATACATTTCAAATAAGTTGTTCACAGTGTCTGTAATGTTATAAGCTGTTTCTTTGTGCAATGTATGTAGTATTTTTTGAAAGTACAACTATATATTTACCTTTAATAGTCCAATGTAACAAGCAGTTGCAGTTTTTATGCTGGTTAATTATGTGTCACACAATTTTATTTGAACATAGAACCTAATTTTGTGAATAACACTGCTGTTGAAACTTATATTTATATGAGCATGTAGTTTATAATTTTAACCTAGAAAAGCATACTGCATGAAAATAAGCTATTTTCTTACCTTAAAGTGTGTATGAAAAAGATAAATTTATTAAGGTTTAGATCTTTAATTGAAGACTAGATATTAAATATTTATGAAAACTATGATAACAAAATCCAGAATTTGTTTTATTTTTGCTCAACACTTCAACTTCCACCTTTCTCCAGGGTCAAGGATTAAGTGTCTACTGTTGTCATATATATAATTTAAATGATATAGAATATAACAGTAAAATATAACATGATGAAATTTAATACAACAAAGTTACAAGGTTATTTCCTGTAATTTTTTCACCCTGACAAAACTTAATAATATTGAGAAATATTTCAATAATTTGTATTGTAATAATAGGTAGGCAAACAAAACTAAAAAAAAAAAAAAACTGTTTGGAAACTATAGAAATCATCAAAGCAAATGACCTCTCACTAAACTGTGATAATGGCCCTAGCAATATCAGATGTATTAGGCAAGGTCTATTCACTGTTCATACAATTGATCAGACTTGAGCTCTACCTACATCCTGTACCTGCTGACACCATTTGTCACATTTAATCCTTGTGTCTTTGTAACAATATATAAACCTTGTATTGCTTAGTACTGATCATACCTGAAGTAGACAGACCAATGTTCTGTCAAAACATGTAGTATATTCCACCATCAATAAAACTTTTCCTTATGCTTATATGTGCTTCCTTACACAAGTAATTTGTATTGTGTTAAGAAGTGTATACATTTTGTAAACCATGAATTTTACTTTTTTTCAGTATATATTATACTTCTATCTTCCAATATGGTACTTCCCTCTACTCACAAGATTAGCTATTCTTGTTCATTGCTGCCCCTTATACGGGAACTTTTTGCTTACACATGCCACAAGCATTCTGCTCCCCCCTATTAGAATTGTCTCTCATGTAAATCATCATGCATCACCTCTACCAATAGGAGCATAGGACACTCACATGAAGCATGTGACTCCCTCTATGCGCCTCTATCAAACTATCACTTCTTATTTGGCAGCGCTTGTACTTGGATGTTGTTTTTGTCATTCTTTACTGTTTCACATTCGTATTTAGTATACTCATGAAGTGGTCTTCATTTATTATAACTTCCAGATTTTCTGGAGTTTGAAATTTGCCTTCATTTATCGAAACTTATTCCAGTCTAATTTCGAAGCTAATGTTGCCACTTTGGAGGTCATGCCTATAACTAGTGCTATCTCACAGGCCACAGGTGCAGGTAACCTGGCGTGGGTTTTTATCGGTGTTTATCTTCCGGAAGATTGAACATTTAAAAGGTCAGCCTCTTTCTTCAGTTCTCACCCACAACTCCTCCTGCAGAAGCTGACCCTGTTCTGTGGATGGAAATCTTGATAGCCTTTTTCCACCACCAGATATCAAGTATTTGGTTCTTCATTTCCATTATGTAGTTTCTGTTCCCAGTACAGAGATTCTATGTTCTTTTTTGCATGTTTATAATGGCTTTGTCTTTCATGGGATTTTCCCCAAATAGATCCCTTTACTACATCTCTTAAACGCCCATTACCTCTATTTTATATCTGGTACCTCCTCCTCTAGCTAGGGCTGTTGATGCCTTTAGCCAGTATTTTCATCTCTCTATCCTCTTACTTCCAGGGGTGATTTCCCTTATCCCTACTATTCTGTGTTAGGTCCTTGTGACTGCTTTTTAATGGCCAGCTCAACCATGATTTCCGTGACTTCTCCAACTTTTACCTCTACTGTCTATTTCTTTGTCTCCTGTCCTTCTTCATCCACTTCATTAGCGGGTACTCCATCTGGACTTTCACATTGTTAGTCTTCACAATTGGCTTCTTTCATTTCCCATCTTTATCCTCCTTTACGATTTGGATTGACTGCTATATATGGTCTGTGCTCGCCATTGTTCTATTGCCTGTATGGTTTCATTCCATGGTGCCCACTCCTGCCTCTTGGCTTACTCCCCTTTATCATCTTCTTCCTGGACTTTGTTCCAGGTGTCTTCTCATTAGATTCAACATCCTTACCTTTTCCCTGGCATCTCATCTTCGTTGGCCATTGAGGGAATTCCTACATTTGGGCATGAGGACTACACCTAATATATTCATCTTCCCTTATCTAAACCTTATCGTGGTTTCTTCCTCGTCGGGTTTTTGTCTACCACCTTTGACTGTTTTCTTACTTCAGTGCGACTCTTACTAGGTAAGTTTCTATTCATTATTTGTTTCCTTTCAGGGGCTCTTGCTTCATTATTCACTATGTGGATCTGCTTCGTTGCAAGCAGTGCCTGACCAGGTAACCTCCAATTGAAATCCGCACTGTACAGCCATGTTGAATTGCACTCTCTTCCATGGCTTTGCAATGCTCACTGGAGAGATGGGGTGTTCCACAAGATAACCTTGCGATGTTTTTGCTTCATAAACATGCCCGTTCCAGACGATATCACCCATGGACTGCATGTGTAAAGCAGAAGGGGATAGCTGCCCATCCCTCCCATGCCTTGATTGAATAAATCGATATGGTCTGCTTTTCAAAATAGGGTTTCCTAGTCACCCATTGCACTGTCTCCAGTGATGATGTTTCTCTGGACTTTCCACTGCATATTCACCCTCCTTTCTTCTAGTGGAATGTGTGAGTCCTTACCACTTTCCAGTTCTAAACTGCTGGGGTGGTTGACCGTGGAGGCACCCTCTTGAATGAGTTCCTTAAAAAGATGGCTATAACCATTCAGTCAAAAGTAGGGCAGTGGTGTTCAGCAGATGTAGATGAGACGTGACCTCCAGAGGAGTTGAGCCATCACCTTGTTGGATGACATGGCCTCCTGATATCATTTACACAACCACTGGAGTTGAGCCATCAAAAATGCAGTTCATCCCTTCATTTGGGAGCTCTCATCCTACTGCCACGTGGATGTCAGTACCCCGTGGCCTGGTATTTGATCTAGAGTGACCAATCAACATAAATCCTCACACAGGTTTTGGGTTGTCTATCTTCCTCCCTTGATTTCCTCTGTCTGTGTTGTGGGTCACAGCAGTGGTACATGGGATTGTTCTGGTTCTCTCCTTGGCTGTCCCTCATTCTCTCTTCTTATGTGGATGTTATTGCCATTTGGAAGGTCCCAGCCTGTTTCACGGTTGGAGGGAGTTGATTGCACGCGATAGACGTCCTTTTGATACCAGATGTCAATTTTCCGGATAAATAGTTCAGAGCTAATCCTTGTGCAATACTCAGGATATGGAGTGGTTCTCAATTCCCTGGTTCTTGGGTTTGAGGTGAAGACAGTATGATCCTCGTCCTACCCTCGCCCAGATGTCGGTACCCTGCGAGGAGGTTTTGGATGTAGTTGACTTACCGAGTATGGTCTGCCATGCCCTAACCACTCTACATCCAGGGGTGCATCCTTGTTTACCCACTTTTCTCATTGTGGGATTGAGTTACAATATCTTTCTCTGATTAGGTTCACTCTCCTACCACATTCTCTCCAACTTGGATGTGCTGCTCTCATTTTCTGCCCTGATACGTTACACGATATCATACACATTCCACACATGGGCAAAGAGTATACCTGGCTCAGAAGTGGTGCGGTTCTTCTCTTCAGATCTGACTCTCTCATCTATGGAGGTATCCTTCAGGCACTTTCAGGGGGTACGTCTGTTCTTCCCTCGCATCGGTCCCTCCTCCTAATCAGTCTGAGATTCTAGCTAATCTTGTGAGTGGAGGGAAGTACCGTATTGGAAGTTATAATTTTCATAATGTATTTCCAATAGGTACTTCCTTCCACCCACACTTCACACGCTTCGAAGTGATAGTTCTTTAGAGGTGCATAGAGGGAGTCACATGTGTCAAGTAGGTGTACTATGCTCATATTGGTAGAGAGGTGACGCATGATGATTTACATGAGAGACATGTTAGAATCACTTGATTCGATTAGGGGGGAGCAGAAGCTTTGTGGCATACATAAATAAAAAGTTCGCATATAGGGGGCAGCAATGAACGAGAATAGCTAATCTTGTGAAAAGAGGGAAGTACCTATCAGAAATACATTTTCAGTATAGGAAAATTATAACTTTCAATGTATTTCATCCCTGTAATGCCTTTTTTTTTGTCACATATGTGAGAAAGGGAAAAGCTGAAAGGTTGGGTATTAATCTTCTAAAAAATTATTCTGGAATTTTAGTTGTAATTTTTATAATGAAAAAGATTCATGTTTCTAGAATTAAAATTACGCAAAGGGATATTATTTATGGTAAGTACAAATGTTCTAACAGTAAATTCATCTTAGTTTATTCAATAATGACACCCCATAATAAACAAATATTGAACATTTAGAGTGAGTGGAAAAAGAAAGCTTTTTTCTTTGTTTCTTACAAACTAATTTCCTTCAGGTTTTTTATAAGTCATACTAGCAACTGCCATCTTAATTTGGTAAGTAAAGTTTTTGCTTTAAAGGCCAAAAAGGCGTAACTTTGTGAGGAAGGTAAGGGGCTGAATTTGTAAAATTATATAAAAACATCCAGTTTTCTGTATTGATTATATAATATGTTATTTACACAGCCAGTCTTTATTTACAGGTAGGAAAGTATGCACGTCATATGCTTCTAGCTGATAGTGATGTATAATCTCTCCTATTTCTTATAAAATAAATTTTTATTTTGTTTGAAATTTACCTTTTAAATGTTTTAGGTTTTTTAGTAAATTACTGAAGAAAGATGTTTATCGTTTAGCCTTATTAATCGAAAGGTAAACATGACTGAGCATATCTAAAGATGTCAAATCGCAGACAAAATGTATTGGGTTTTCAAATGATGATTGAGAATTATTTTATGCTCTGGATCCTCATCTGAATTGGATCCAATCCATAACTGCTTTTTTTTTTGTTACTTTACACCTTATCCTAGAAGGGAAATCTCTTTTCAAACTGTCATATATCTTTTTAAATAATTTTGGTCATGATATATAATGACTTAAAAAACTAACCTAATGTTTGCATTGATTTTGACTATTGGTAATTTAGGTAATTGGTTTATATAACAAATGGTTAAGAAGTGCCACGTTATCATTATGAAGTTTCATTTTGATCCCTAAAATAAAGTTTATCTAAAACTATTTTTCTATTCATTCAGGTTTATATAACAAACGATAACGAAGTGCCACGTTATCATTATGAAGTTTCATTTTGATCCCTAAAATAAAGTTTATTTAAAACTATTTTTCCATTCATTCAGGTTTATATAATAAATGGTAACGAAGTGCCACGTTATCATTATGATGTTTCATTTTGATCCTTAAAATTAAAGTTTATCTAAAACTATTTTTCCATTCATTCAAATTTGAAATAGATGATAAAATGTTTAAAGATAGTTAGGCTAACCTGAAAAATTTTGAGCTTGCTTAGTATTTTGTAGTACTTTTGATGTAGCAGCAGGTTTTTCTAAATATTTTTTGTTTGTTTTTATCAGAAGCTGTCATCAAATCGTAAACGGAAAATAGACCAGAAAGTTGAAAAGGTAAAATTTCAACTGTGTTTGGGTTGAATTTGTAGAACATGGACTAAATTTTAGTTATAAAATGAACTAAAAGCTTTGAAAGTACTAAACGTATATAATCATATTTTGGTTGAGGCATATATTCTGGCCCTCTGTTTTAACACGTAGTGTACTAAACTTTACTTTGTTCTCTAGTTTTTTTTGTTTACCAGTATTTGTTGATTACAGTTTATTGTAATTATTGTTTTATTTACTAATACCAGAGTATTCTGCTGGTTTACTTGTAGTTGCTTTATCACATTTAAGTTTCTCTTATGATTGTACTACAGTAGACCTCTCTAACACATTTTTTTGAGAAGACATAGAAGATAGGAATATACTTTATGTTTTGTCAGATGCTCTTGAGTCAAAAGAGTTGAAGCTCCTGTCTGTTTCTCATCTAACTATAAGTTTAGCATTTATCTGGCTTTATAACTGTCATTTTGATATCCATTTCTGAACTTTTTGAACATGACTACATAGATCTTTTTTGTGGTTCTTAAACCGTTACAAGGATTTTAACCAGTCCTGTATGTATTTCCTATATCTTAGATCCCGATTTGAGATAATTTTCTTCACATAGCTCAGAAACTACTATAAGGCCATTTATTGCCTGTGCAGCCAAAATATGATGAAAGGATATTACATACAAATTCTTGTGTATCCAAAGTCTGTCTCAGTAAGGCCTCGTGTTGATTGCTGATTAATTGAAATATTTGTTGCATTGAATCCCTTCCAACCTTCTACTTCCTCAGTTTTAATGTTGTTGATTTATGGAAATGCCCCTGTGTATGTGAGTGTGTATATGTATGCAGTGCTTCGTATTTCTTGAAATTACTTGCTCTTAATATTTTTGTGGTATATTATAGAGTGGGTTCATTTAAGAGATTATTTGTTTTGTATTGCATAGTATTGAAAATATTATTAAAACATTGTATAAAGTGTGTTGCTTGGTACAAGTGTTCACTTTCTTAGCTTAAACAATAAAAATATTATTCTAACTGCAAAATCATAGCAAATATTTCTGAAGTCATTATTGTTGGACATTTATTTACAAAAGAATTGGCATGGACATGTAAAGGGTCATTCAAAATATGTACATGTTTAGATTTTGGTCTAGTTGTTGTTTCAGTGAAGTTTAAGGATAATTGTCTGGTTAAATCTAGTTCAAAATATGCACAAGTTTAGATTTTTGAAATGTTCGTAACGAGGCTCCCAAATGGGGAATTGGGGGGTTTGGGGGCTTTCAAGACTGGTTGCATGAATTTACTTGAAATGTGACAAGAATGTGTAAATGATCATTCAGAATAAAAGGTTCAGAATTTTTGGTCTAGTTGTTGTTTCAGTGAAGCTTTAATGGTAATTTTCTAGTTAAATCTGATCCCATTTTCCTGGAAAAATAAGCTTGTAATGTTTTACCTTAAAGTCATTTTTGACACCACATGATTTTAAGAATTGCATACGTTATGCTGATTAGGAACTGTATGTATTATTGGTCTAATGTGCGTCAAAAATGATTTGACATCTGTAAAAGGTTATTCATTTTGGACCTTATACTGTAACATAAACAGTGTGTAGTCGTAATAGTGACTTTTGGTAGTGCATTTCAATTTCTCTATGTCACACAGTTCGACTGGGTTTTAATATAAATATCATGTTAGTTAGAATCAAGTTGCTTAAATTTATTAAAAGTGTTTTTACCTTTATTTTTAAAATTAATTTGTATAATTTGGAATAAAACTTATCATCACTATATCAATTTTTTTATGGTTGAAAGATAAAGTTTTAAATCCATACAGACAATGAGAAATACTTCTCTGTTCTTGATGATGTGTTTAAACAAACATATACATTGTTTTAAAAATTTTCAACAGCACATAAAGTTTTTTTTATAATGATTTTCAAGTTGTAAAAGTATAACTTTTTTTTTCTTGTAATAAAGTAATATCATTACACTTCTAATCTTTTGTTTAGGCAAAGAAAGGAAGAGTTCGAAACAACACTGTTGTTCAAGAAAGAGAGTTGGAAAAAAATGTCATGCATAAGAATGATTCCAAACACTTAAATGAAAGCCAGGTAAGAGTAAGAATTTGAATATATTGAAGTATTGAACTGTTTAGTAGTCTGTTAGGTAGTATGTATATTGATATATCTAATTTACTGTTACGTTCAATAAATAATGATTATTTGTTGCACATAGTACAATAAAATACGTGGAGTTAAAATGAAATGAAATATTGCAAACAAAACCCTATATATTGGTCTCTTAACGTAGTCTCATTTTGTGGTTTCTTATGTGTTCCTGATTTTTAATAAAATTGTTTTAATATTTGTTCAAAATGCATGATTATTTTTTCTCAAGTTATTGTTTAAAGCTTGTACTTATCAGCAATTACATATTATGTACCTCATAAGAACAGTTTATTTTCTTATTCTTTTTACTAACGTAAACAGAGTCTTAAAGTGTCATACGGTACTTTTTCAGAACAGTGTAGAGTGTTCTTATGAATTTATTTACTTTTATATGGTTGTTGTTATTACACGTCATGTAAGAATTTAAATATAATAATTAAATTTTACAGAAAAGTGAATGTGAAAAAGAGACAAAGAGAAGGAAAGCTGGTACAATAGAGCCTGAACGAAGCAGGAGTGGGCGAATGATTAAAAGGAAAAAGTATAGTTCAGAAAGTGAATCAGAAAAAGAAGGGAATAAAGAGAAAAATAATGATGATGATGCAAAGGTTAAAAATTCTCCTGTAAGAAGGTTATCTGATGAAAAAGGTTATAGTACAGAGGAAGAACCTGCAAAAATTGATGATAAAATAAATAAACGCAAAATGAAGGAAGATCATCCTGTTGATACGTCAGGTAGGTCGTTCGATAATTTTATTTTTGAAACAACATTTTTAATTCTAGGAATGCAGTTGTGCCTTTTTCTAATATAAAATTTTTATATATGAATTAAATGAAACATGGGCATTTTTCTGAAAAATAAATTTTAATGGCAAAATATTCTGTAAGAATCTCAGATTTTTTTTAGAATTCAAACTAGCATTGGTTTTCACAGAAAAATAAAGTTCCACTAAACTTTTAACTCTTCCATCAAGGTTCCCAAAATATTTTAAATCAATTTCCAGATCTGGAAAGTCCTATAATAAAACTAAAATGCCTTCTCAAAAATATTTTTATTGAGAAATCTTAGAATATAAGTAAATGAAACATTTGTATTTTGGGTTACTGATTTAATTATTGCCTCTTGTGATTTATTGTCAACTTATTACTTGTTGGAGAAGTGAGGTAAATTTCAAAAGCCAACTGCAGATAGGTTCTTGACCTGGAATATATATGATTAGTCCCTTACTGCTTCATGTCAAGAGCTGAGTAACAGACAATGAAATGCTTAAGAACAGAATGATTTTTCACACATTTAACATTTTACTTTACACCCCTTTGAATAATGTTATACGCGAATAGATATTGATGGAATATCTATGCACTGTTTTATTATTAACTTTATCTTGGTGCATGCTCTTTGGTCATTAACCTCACCAATAGCAGCTCAATTATATTATTTAAAAAAAAACCAAGTCTTTATATAGAAAAAGAATTAGACCTACATTCATATAAGTAAAAGTGGTCTAATTTTAACCTAAACTTGATAACTTCAATATGTTTGAGCTTATAGAGACAAGATAGTGCAATTATAATTATAATACAAAGAGAGGAACTGAAGTTAGCAACTTTTATTAAGGATCCATAGCTGATTAAAAATGCTTCAATTTTCTTCCTTTAATTGAAGATTGATTGACCAATAGTATTTGTGTCTTGTTATCGGAAGTATATATATATTTACTTCTTCCTCATCTTTTGACAGCATCATATCCTTGTCGTAAGGCATTAATGATTTAGATCTTGTTTCGTGTACTGTAAAAGTTTTTTGCACGCAGTCGTTTTTTTACTTTTCCTAACTTTTTTGTTTCGTACTATTTTTCTGTTTCTGTGTTCACTTTATGTCTGGCAATTAGTAACTGTACAGTTAATACTTGAAAAATATAGTATAACAATTTTTTGACCAGTTTAGGTGACTTTGATTAATCAGAATATAACTACTACAATACGTAGTTTTAAATTCAACTTGTTTCTTGCCACTGTCCAGTTCTTAGGAAAACTACTTCCTTATCAATCTAAATAGAAGTGATATAAGACAGTTTAATCTCTTACACTATTCTGATTACGAAAATATTACGTTAAGGCCTAAGGAAAACAAAATTATTTAAACTCTAAGAGTTATATGATTTCTATATTTGATGTATGTCCAAAATGATGTAAAAGATAGAATTTCAAAAGTTGTAGCTTTATAAGAAAAATGTTAAGTTCTGTTCAAATGTAATTTGAAGTTTATCACAATGGATGTAGTACCTCTACACACCCAACAACAGATTATAATCTGAGTATTACAGTTTGTCTTTTGACTCTCTCGTAAGGCTGTGTAATAAAAAATACTAATGAAGAAAATATTTTTCGAGGCTATTAATTTATGCTTGTGTATTGTAGTACAACACAAGTTGAATGAGATAAAAGAAGACTCCTCTGATACTGAAAATATTGGCAAAAGGTAGTTTCTTTTTATTTATATATAGCCAAACATATAAAGAAAGTGTGTTCGAAGTAAATAGCCTAAAAAAATATATACATACATTTGTTTTCTCCTTATATTAAACCCATTTTTATTCAGTATGAAATGTTGAAAACACTTTACATTGTTACATTTAACTACTGCTTGTTCTACAGTTGTTTGGTGTATAAGTAAAGAACTGTTATTAAAATAATTTTGAAAAAGAGGTTTTCCATGTATAGTTTGTGATTTGCCAGTCCAGAGTAATATCAAATATATATTTATGTGAAAATCAGAACACTTCATTATATGAAGTTAAAATATGACCTTGATATTGCTTGTGATTGATTTATAAAGTTATTAAAATATAAAACTTTGAAAAGTGTCCTTAAATTATCTGGTAAAATCTTACTAGGAGTGCAACAAAAAAATTACTTAAAAACTCTGTAGTGAGTAAATTATTTTGTTTTTATTGTATCAGGATACAGATATATGACCAACAGCTATCAGATGATCATTTGGACAGAAAAGAAGAGGAAAAAGAACAGGAGGAATCTTCATTGGTGTGTAATCTAGAAATAAACGTATTTTATCTGCATCATCTGAACTATTTTTTCCAATTTCATTTGTATCGGAAATTTGTTGTAACTTTTTTTAATTATTAAGCCTTCTTATGATCACGTAAGATAGAATGTTTAAACTAGCATTGTCAGAAATAGATATCATTGTTGAATCTAGTTTTGACAGAAACTTCTTATTTTAGAAAACATAACCTATGATAAAAGGATGGAAGTTTATAGTAGTAGAAATAAGGCAAATTTGCAGGCGTAATTAAAGTATTATACTTTTAAAATCAATGCTATAAAGTGTGAATGGATAATATAAATAAACATCATACCATTATTTTGATATTTTTAGTTCTGTGGACTTAAAAGCTTAGAAAAATATGCACACTTTAATGAGTGTAGTGTTAAGCTAACATTGCAGGACTTCTGATTTGTGTAAAAACTATTACTGTATAGCTTTAATTTTGACATAGAATTCAATCTAGATACATGAATAATCTGGTGTGTGTGTGTGTGAATTCATAGATTTGTTAGATTTAATTGGTTAAATATTAAAAATATTGTTGAAGTGTTTTAAATACTTACAACTTAAGTCAAATTTTCGATGATTCTGTTGCTGTCTCATGTTGTACTTTCAAAAATAAAAATTTGGGTTCTTAATTATTTTATTTAGGAGAATAGTTCGTTTAGAAAATCATTAAGTCTCTCAATACATAACTGAAGTTCTTTTATTTCTTCTAAATCAAGTTTTGTTAACTGTTCTCTAACACATACTGTGGGTAAATTATGTATGAGAGTATTTATTTATTTATGTTTAAAAGGAATTCAAAAGAAAAAGGCGAGAAAAGGAAAAAAAGAAAAGAGAACGGATCAAATCCAAGTTGGTTGATTCATCTAAGAAGGAAGGAAATAGAAAGAAAACAGACAGCTCTGAAGATGAAGTGAAAACGTCCGAGAGTAGTAAGAGTGTTGATAATCAACCCATTGAAAGCATTTTAAAGGTAAGTCGTTCATAGAGAAATGATGAAATATTTTATTTATTCTTTATGGCTAGATTATTATACCATCATGACAATTTCAGCATCTTAAGACTTTTGTATGAATTTTTAAAGGGTTATGTAGATTTTGTTAAACCATGGATTTATATAAAATAATATAGTATATAAAACTTATCTAAATTTCATAAGCCATTTGCATCATTGTTTTTTTTAACTCATTTTGATTTTAATATTTGTAGACTAGAGGGAAACTTGTACTTTGCTTATAGTAACCACAAAAAAACAAAGTAACCACAGTAACCGTAAATGTTTGTATTTTTGTTGCCTGAGGTAATCCCGTAACAATTTTACTGTGCAAGTTTTATAATGTACAGAAGTAAATGGAAGCCTATCATATTATATACTTTTTGTTGTTTTTTATCCCAGACAGAATCGTTTGTAAGGCTTTTAGACATCAAAGAAACTTTAAAAAAATCAGATTCTACCAAATCAAGTAAGAAAATTCAAATGCCAAAGAGCCAAGATGGAAAGCCAGGTGAAAGAAAGAATAGTGAAGATAAACATGTTGATAAATGTGACTCGAGTTCACAAGGCAAATACACTGAGAAGCAGGAAGCCAGGATAAAAGATAAACATACAGATGAACATCATACAGAAGAGGATGGTGCAAAGCAGGAAACGAAAGGGAAGAATGATTCTACAAACAAACATACTGCAGAAACAAAAGGGAAGAATGATTCTACAAACAAACATTCTGTAGAAACAAAAGGGAAGAATGATTCTACAAACAAACATTCTGTAGAAACGAAGGGCAAAAATGAGTCAAGGCAAGAGAAAAAAGCAAAAGACAAAGTTACAGAAAAACATACTAGACAAGAAAAAGATAACTCAAGAAAAAATACCGAAGATAAAGCTACAGATAAACTTTCTACAGACACAGATGGTAATGGTAGCTCAAATCAAAAAGCAAAAGACAAATCATTTAATAAACAAATAAAATCAGAAGACAGAAACAGTCCAGAAAGAAAAGCAAGGGGAAAGGAGGAAGAAGAATCTGAAAAATTTGATGACAAGGTGCATTTTAATCCTTTTTTTTTCTTAATTCAAAAATATTTAGCTGCTTTTAAGGTTGATGTGCTTGAAAGGTTGATGACTATTATAACAGTGTAAGTTGTGATGTATTTATTTTAATTTTGAGAAAGTATATGCATAAGGTGATGCTACTAGAAGAGTATATATTATTGCGGTAAAGTTATTCTCATAGAAAACAATTACCAAACCAAATGATTAAGCAGATAAAATGAAGTTCTAGAAGCTGGTTTATGATTTAATGATATTTAATACAATACACATAGTATTAATAGTGCTCATTAAAATACATAAAGCTCACACATTTAAATCATGCATAAGAATAGTATTACAGGAATGTTTTATAGAAAGTTGTAGTTTTGTGTTGTTTTTTTATCAGTCAAGTTCAAAAGATGGACACTCATCAGGAAAGGACAACCACTTGGACGAAGTCCACCAGAAAGAGTGAGTATTTTATATAAATTTCATTCTTCAGTTTATTACAGAGGAAAGAGCAAATGTTTATGAAAAACTAATGACTTAGACATATAGTGCAAGAGATGGCTGTAAAATGTATGTGTATGAGTTCAGTATCATTCTTTTAAGACATTATTTCTACTGCTAATGATAGATCTCAAGTCAAAATTGATTTTGAGTAAACCTCCAAAGTTTGTATTATTTTTTGTTAAAATGTTTTGTACTTTTCATTGTTAAATTTTTCCATGCCCCTTTTACATCAGATATATATGCACACACATATGACCCTAAATTTAATTTATTTTAGCACCTTAGCAGATAATTTGAGTTTTTATTTCATTAATTAACAATTTGGCCCAGGATAACCAGGTTGTTAGGGTGCTTGACTCGCAATCTGCGGGTCGTGTGTTCGAATCCCTGTCCCACCAAACATGCTTGCCCATTCAGCCATGGCGGCATTATAATGTGATGGTCAATCCCACTATTTGTTGGTAAAAGAGTAGCCCAAAAGTTGGCGGTAGGTGCTGATGATGACTAGCTGCCTTCCCTTTAGTCAATCACTGCTAAATTAGACACGGCTAGTGCAGATAGCCCTCGTGTAGCTTTCCGCAAAATTCAAAAGAAACAAACAATTAACAGTTTTCTTGTGACTATTTTAAGAAACAAATAGAAGTTTCCACTCTGTTCTTTTTTTTTTGTCTTTTTATATTTTTAAAGTGGAATTGTACTATAGTTCATTATGTGTGAAATGAGAGTAGCTGTTGTAAATAATGTTATTTTGACTGATATTCAGGTGAGTATTGAAAATAAAAATATGTTTTGCTTCAGATGTGTACCTTTTCATATGAGCTGTTAATGTTGATATGATAAAAAATTCTAAAGATACAATATATTGTGAGAGTGGGGGTGAAACTACATGGTATGTGGCTAAAGATTATTCTGGTACTCATAGGGTTAAGTATAGACATATAGATGTGGAATATACTGTTTGTAGAACAACTTCGCTGTTTAGTTGCGTGACTGGCACCTTTACCTTCCTATATATATCTTCTGAATTAGTAACTTTGCTAAACTTTTCTTTTCGAAGGAAGGAAAAACGATGTTATATTTCAGTTACTGTTATAGTTCACAAACAGTGATATATCGTCTTTCATTTAGAATGAGAGTGTATGGTAATAATAAAAGGCTTCTTGACATGACAGTCAGCAAAGTAACTATTACACCAAAGTTTTAACTGAATCCTTTTATGTAGAAACTGCAAGTTAAACTATTAACATTTGATTCTGTTGGATCTGTGAAGTGAAAAAACACAACCAGGTCCAGAATAAATTCCTACAGGTCTTATCTTAAATTAATATTTTACATATTTGAAGTGCAAAGAAAGGAGAAGAAAAAGAACGAACGAAGAGAGAGAAACTTGAAAAGAAAAAGCGAGAAAAAATTGAAAAACAGAGTAAAAAATGTAAGTTCCAAACATACAAGTTGATCTGATTATTAAGGCTAGAAAATTAGAAGGAAACAAAAGCTTTAGTCATATGACAGTTTGTGATTAAAAAAATAAAGTTTAAATATATGAATTCACAATTACATCTTCCAAAAATATGCATGATGTTAATATATCTTTAAAGTTTGTTTGATATAAGAAAAATAAAACACGTTCATATTTATATATTCTATGTAGAAGGTCATGATTCGTTTGATATAAGAAAAACAAAACACATTCATATTTGTATATTCTATGTAGAAGGTCATGATTCGTTTGATATAAGAAAAACAAAACACGTTCATATTTATATATTCTATGTAGAAGGTCATGATTTGTTTGCTGAAGAATAAAAATGTCTGTTTGGTATTATGTTTCCTATTAGGAAAAACATTTTACAGTTTTCTTCAATTTGCATACTTGGGATATAGCTTGAATGACTCGCATTGTATAATCTACTTTATGGGCATTTTTTAGTAACAAATGGTTTGTTTCTGATGGTTTGAAAGATTTTCAAGTTTTCTGTTCAACAGCATATGGCATATCAGTCTGCTATTACCTAAATTCTGAAGGTCTCTAATAAGTCATTTATTTTTCAGTGAAATTTTGAAAAGTTAAGTTCTATAAGAGATAGGGAAATGGGTAGTACTTGCATTTATTCGTTATTTGTGATAACTTTAAATTCATTTTTAAGTGAAAATTTTAATGTGGAAATATAGTTTTGTCTTATTGTGTGCATTTCTGGTAGCTATTTTTATTGGTATTATTTTTGCTTGAGTAAAACACTGTTTCATTCATCTTATTTTAGTTCAGTTACAAGAAGAATCTTGGTGAACATTTAAGTTAAATTTTCCTGTAAAAGAAAAAAAAGAAAGTCAAATTCAAATTCTCAAAAATAATCTTCTAAAGTATTTGTTTTTTTAATAATATTTAACCTTCAAATCTGTTTAAAAAATTTTTGGTATAATATTCTTTAAGTAAAACAATATTAGACTTAAAAACTTTTGGCAGGTAATAGATCAGAATTTAGTGAATATATTTCAACATAGTTTAAGATTGATCTTGTAAAGATTAAGGTAAGTCAAACTGATGGAAATGAAAGTTGCTAAAAGGATTTTTTTTTCTTGCAGATTCCCTTCTGGAATCCCGGCTGTGTGAACTTGATGAAATAATTAAAAACAGTTTGAGTTTTGCCAGTATGGTAAGGTATATTTTATTTGTTAAATATATACTTAAGAATTCTTATTCTGAAAGGGTTCTGCTTGAAAGAACATACTGATCAAATTTAGGGTCTGAAATAACTGTCATGGTACTCCAGGCAGTGTCTTAGCTATATAGAAAGAAGCTAGCAAGAAGCTAATATATGGTACTGGCATATGCTAGAAGAAACCAATTTAATAGCACTCCACAAATAAACCTTGATAAAAACAGTGTTTAACACTATATATTAAGTTTTGTTATCATGCCACAGCCCAAAAAGCATAGAGAATTGTCAGTAGAGCGGAGAGTAGCATAAAAGCTTTACGTGATGTTTGTTGGACTCCCCGACAAATTGCCGCAGACTTGACATGCTCCCCAAACAATGTCAAGTACATCCTAGATCAGGGGTCTCCAAACCTTTTTGGACAAGGGCTGGGAGGTAGATCTTTTTAGGCTTTGTGGGCCAGAGGGGTCGTGGTAAAATTAAGTAGGGATACATACATGATCAAATTGGCTTTTGCCCAATTACGTTTTATTTTTGGTTTTTATAATATTAAAAAATTATATTATTACTTTAATAAAATGTTGGTGAGCTGGATAAACTGAAGTTGTGAGCCATAGTTTGGAAACCCTGCCCTAGATCGTGAGACTGAGACAAATAAATTTGAAATTAGGAAAGGAACACTTAAACTGATGTTAACTATCTTCGTTTATGCAGCCTTCGGGACAGAAGTAAGACTGCCACTGATCTCAAACATGAGATAAATGACCATATACCAAATGACAGAAGAGTGTCCAGATCCACAGTATCAAGAACACTCAAGGAGGATGAAATATTTCGTCGTGTAGCAGTTAAACAACCTTTATTTTGATCACCAAATATTGTCAAGAGGCTGAAATTTGCTAAAAAGTACAAAAACTGGACTGTTGATGATTGAAAAAGGGTGTTATGGATGGATGAGTCTGTGTTTGAAATATTTGGTTCAAAGCATAGGTTGTACGTCTGGCGGAAGAAAAGTGAAAGATACTTAATTCAATGCATAGCACCTACCATAAAGCACGGGGGAGGCAGTGTGATGGTTTGAGGGTGTTTTTCTGCTGAGGTGACAGGAGACATTTGCAAAATAGATGGGATAATGAACCAGCACAAGTTCCATCAGATATTGATCTGTCATGATATACCCAGTGGTTTACATATTATTGGTAAAGGATTCTATTACCAAGAAGATAATGACCCCAAACATTCATTCAACGTATGCAGAAATTACTTAGCTAAAAAAGAAGCTGCTGGAGTCATTCAAATGATGCAATGGCCACCACAGATCCTCGATCTCAACCCAGTTGAGCAGATCTGGGATTTGATAGATCAAAAACTTGACAAATCAAGAGTTACTTCCAAAAAAAACTTTATGGGAGTGTATTACAGACATTTGTAGTGGAATCCCAAATGACGCTTTGATTAAATATGTTGAAACAGTGCTTGAAAAACTGTCTGCAGTTATTAAAGCAAAAGGGAGACACACAAACTATTAACTGTTTGCTGAACTCAAGCACTTCCACTGAGTTTCTGTTGTACTAAATATGAAGATTAATAAAATTTTGATGTTTCACCTGTGATTTACCTTCCATTGTTCTTTGAAAGTTGCCCGAAATTTAATTTTTGACTTTGTTCTAACACTTTTGCACAGTACTGTATATCTCCAGAATGTATAGTTATTAGCTTAAAATTATTACAGTTTCGCCAGGAGCTATCGGATAGCTGTAATAGTGAAATATTGAGCTAATAAAGTTGCATTCTGAAGATACAAGTCATGGTTTTATTTACAATTATATATTGAGCGTTATTTTAATTTACTTCATTGATGGTTGTTCTGAATACATCTGTCCATAAGCATGCTTTGACTGAAAAAGTAACATTTTTTGTTTACAATAAATTTTATTGTAATATTCCATAATCAATATTCATAATTCTCATTGAGTTTAAGGTGCTCTAGAATTCAGTCACGTATTTAAGATAATATTGTATGTTTAAATATCCACGTAGGACGTTGACCGCTGTATGTCAGCCTTGAATGAACTTGACAACTTACCTTTAACACAGTCTGTCATCAGCAGGGAGCCTGATATTATTCACACCATTCGAAAAGTAAGTTATGTTTCTAGTTTACTGTTTTAGGTCATATTCAAGTTAGCTTTTCATTGAGGCTTTTCTGCTTGAACTGTATACAAGTCAAAAGTGATTTTAACTTTTTAGTTATTGGTTTTTGTTAGCTTTATTGTAGTAAAGATATGAAAGAAAACAACAGATTCTGTTTGAAAATACTGAGTTGTATATCAAATGGTCATTTAAATAATTCATGTTTCCTGATAAAGAAAACATTGGGTTTTTTTTAGAATTAAAAAGTAAACATCAATTGTTGACTAGTCAGGAAAGTGTAATTTGAAATAATTTCTTTATGTATAAATCTGGATCAGAGTACTTTCAGTGGTCAGAAAAACATAAATATAACCATAAAATAATAATTGTGATTGCATATTTAAATTTTGTTTCCCTTTTTAATTTGCAGAATTCATTTGCTAAAATGTAAATTAACTGTTTTTTATTTGTATGTGTCAAAGTTGTTTAAATTTGTATCACTTTTTTAAAGAACAAGAAATTTTTTTCGTGCCATAGTGCCGCAAGTTTAAGAAAAATGATGTCATAAAACAGAAAGCAGAGTATCTCTATCATAAATTTAAGAACCAGCTTCTTGTCCCTGAAGGAGAGAATTTTGGAACAGTGAGTATTAGATTATCAGCACAGAAAGTTTCTTGCTGCAAATAAAGAAATTCTTGATTGTTAATATTACACAGCTTGTAATTTAATTTTGTATGTGGATCATGTATATCATATACCTAGTATGTACTTTATCACTGCTGGATATGCAAGACTGTTCAGTTTAAGAGTTATTTATTTCATTTAGTGATATAATATTTAATGATTATTTAGTTTTTATAACAAGTGTTAAAAGTTAATTATTTTAAAAGCAATATCTATGACAAGTTACATTACGTAACTCTTTATGAGTCATATATTATGTATGTAGTTTATTTGTTTTACTAAGCTTTTCTAATATTGTTGACATCACTTTACTCAAAGCTTCTAAGTTTTTCGTTGTGTGTAATATTGTTGTCACTAGATGGCTAGAAAGTTCTAGGCCTCAGTCAGAATACTTATAAATAGGCACCCAACAATGTAGAAGAAATAAAGTAAGTTAAGTGAGAGAAATAATTAGACAGATCTAGACTGTACGAATGATTAGCCTTAACAGGTGATTTCTAAAGTGAGTTTCATAGCTATATTGTAACAACAGAGATAGGAAAAATAATTTGTTCTTGTCAATTGGGTTCTAAAGTAACTGAATCAGCCTATGTGGACTTTTGACGAAAAAGAGACAATTATTTAAAGCTCTGGACACAACTGTGGTAACCAACAGAAGTTAAGTTAGTGAAAGTGGAAGTCAGTAAGTTAAAGGTATATAGTCGGATAAATCTGGATTGTGTGTTTGTAAGTGTAGCCATAAATAGTGTATAGTGGCTACTCTTAAAGTGTTATAATTGCAGATTGTATGGTAGTAAACAGAGTAGAGAATAATAATTCATTTTGTTAGTTGGGTTCTAAAGTAATTGAACCAATCTGTGTGAATTTTTGACGTAAAAGATAATTATTTAAAGTTCTGGATAGAACTGTGGTAACTCACAGGGTAACGTAAATAAATCTTTCACTAATTATATTGGGATAACAGAGATTAAAAAGAAGAATTTGTCTTGTCAAAGGATGTTCTAAAGTAAATCAAAGTCCACCTATGTGGACTTTGACAAAAAGAGACAATTATTTAAAGCTATGGATACAACTGTGGTAACCAACAGTTATAGTGATGATTTTAAAGTGAGCATTGCAGCCTGTTTTGCAATAACAGAGATAGAGAAGAAAAACACAGGCCTGCGATGGTTTTATTGTCTTGAAATCTGTACATTATCTACAGTAATTTGTATACACTGAATCGAAAAATAATATCCATTTTTCTCCATCACGTACAGATTTTTCACAAAACGTGATATGTACTATTAAATAAGTGAATCATTTTCATTGAAAACGGGTCACATTTTGTTATGCTTAAAATGTTGACAACCACTAGCTATAGACTTCTCTAGATTAATCGCAACGTGAGAGTCTTATCGATCATTCTAGAACCCACTAGAAACACTGCCAGTATATAAATGGTTAATAGTCCACATGATGTGTCATTTCTGGGTAGTATTTGTTTGTGCATGCACTTTCACATTATTTTTTCTTTTCAATATTATTTATTCATCGCTATGGCAACAAGAGGTTCTGTAAATGACCCAAATATATTCTGCTATATTTGTGGTAAATTTGTTGTAAAGAAACAAAGGCAAAACATTACAGAATATGTCAAACAAGCATATTTTGGAATTAAACTTGGGGACCAAGAGAAATCATGGGCTCTGCACAAAGTTTGCACCACTGTGGACAATGGACTAAAGGTAAGAAAAGTCTTTGCCTTTTGGAATTACAATGGTCTAGTGTGAGCCTATAAACCATAGAGATAATTGCAATTTTTGCTCATGTAATGTGCATGGCTATAACACTCGAAATAAAAAGGAAATTTCTTATTCGAACCTTTAGTCTGCTATAAGACCTGTTGCTCGTGGACCTGATTTACCTGTACCTACTCCACCAGAGACTCTTGATACAGTTTCATCTGATTCTGAATCAGATGTCAATAGAAATGGTGATAGGGATTGTTTTAAACCTGAAACGTTTGGAAAGGTTTTATCGAGACATCAGGGAAATGGAGAGGAGGTATCAGTGAAGGTGGAACATCAGCAAATGATTGTTGCTGGTGTAACTCACAACATCTTCACCTTTCACTTCTCTATCTTTGAAAGAAATCAATGTCATTGTAACTACCGAATGCTCTACACTAGTCTTTGCTAGCCCCCACTTTCCTGTAGAGCTTCCTTTATAAAAAAAAACCTTAGATCTCTTCTACTAGAATCAAATCTCATAATGACTATCAACGTACATTTTATGGTTCGTCACAATGTCATTTTCTGAAGAAGGCAGTAATTCAACTCTTGAGCTTTCTTTGTCTGACCATTCTCACCCAAGTATCTGACTACACTCAACATAAACCACTTGTGAACCCCTTAGTTACAGCAAAAAAACGTTTTCAGAAACTTGGAAAACTTACCAGGTACCATCAACATGCCAAGTTGCTTATCTGTAACACACAGAATAAAAACACATCCCATCATGATAGGCATTAATGACCAGAATTTCTTCAACAAATGCATGAGATTCTCAAAAATACCTCTTTAGAACTTCTATCATAATTCTTTTAAAATTATAAATATGGAAATCTTCTATTATCATATATACAAGCTTTCGATGTAACAGGGAGAACTGACTCCTTCCTCCTGAAAAAGAATAACATAAACCAGCTTCTTAAAAATAACATTGATTCAAAAATTGTGACTGCTTCTAACAGAGGCTTGGCATCACCAAGTGGTTAGGACGCTCGACTCGCAATATGAGGGCTGAGGGTTCGAATTCCTGTTCCAACAAACATGCTCACTCTTTCAGCTGTGGGGGCATTATAATGTGATGGTCAATCCCATTATTCGTTGGTAAAAGAGTAGCCCAAGAGTTGGTGGTGAGTGGTGATGACTAGCTACCTTCCCTCTAGTCTTTCACTGCTAAATTAGGGACGGCTAGCACTGATAGTCCTCGTAAAGCTTTGTGCGAATTTCAAAACCAAACCTTCTAACAGCATTTTTAATGATCCTCCCCTTTTTGTTAAAGAAACTACTATAGAAGCTAGCAGTGTCCCTGAATCTATCAAAACACAATATTCTATTAATGAACATCTGACACAATAATCTAAAAACACTTTATCTTGAACCCCCTTCAAACTAACACATCTGCAAATAATAATCAACTCCTTCCCCATGTTTCCAGCGTAGTTAGCCCTTTAAATGTAGTTCTTTCAGATTCAAAACTCAGTGTTCTTAATAAAGGTCTCAGCTTCTGTCCAAACATTAGTTTTGTTAATGAACCTTAACTTCTTTCTGACCTACACAAAAAACTCACACTCCTTACTTTTTTTCACAACAGCTATACTCTGATTTTCCTTTTGGAGACCCCCCACCAAGCTGAGGACCACATTTAGAGATTCATATTAAAGCTATAGGAAATGACATAATAGAAACCTTAAAATCTTCCAACCAATCTCACAATAATCTGAATAAAAAAAGAAAGAACTGTTCTAAGAGATCTTAAATCTAACAACAACAACATTATAATAAAGCCAGCAGACAATGGTATGTGGCTGTTGTTATTCTAAATAAAGATGATTATATTGCTGAAGCTAGCTGCCAACTTGAGAAAAACGTAATTTTTACAAGAAACTCGCACAGAACCCTACAACTCATTTTGCTAAGACTAGCAGTTATAAACTTAAAGAACTCCTCCAAAACAAGAAAATTAACAAAGAAACCTTCGCTTCTGGTACTTAACAGCGAAGCAGGCTTGTCCAGGTAAATTTTATCTCATCATATCCAAATTATAGAAAACTAATAATACTGACTGACCCATAATTTCTAACACAAACATGGCCACCGAGAAGCTTTCTTCATTTATTGAGCATCACATAAGAGATATTCCCTTCTTATGTAAAGGATATGACTCACTTTATAAACATCATATTGTGATTAAATCATATCTGTGACTAAAAAGACTTCAAAATTATTATAGAAATTTCTTGAACAATGCATATCTTCATTTACTTCATACAGTGTAAAAAATTAAACCACCAGTATGTAAGACAGACTCAAATAACTCTTAAGAGAGCATTTCAATAACCATAAATCTTCGATTAACACTGAAAAAGGCCTGCCCGTTGCTTTAACTCTTCAACTAACCCAGTCGTTATATAAAAGTACAGTGAAATTAGTCACAACTGCTAGAATCTTTTGAAGGCTAATCAAAACATTTCAAGGTAATCATGGTGGTCTATGGTGACATTACTCCACCGTTTCTTGTGCTTCAATTTATTTAGTCATTCCCAGTTGATGAAGAAAGGTCCACCTTGTGAAAGGACTTCAGTTATATGGTTTCATGTTTTTGTTTTGATTTAATATTATTCTAGTCGTGTAAGATTTATGGTATAAATTTTGTTTAATTTAACAGTTTACACATTTTTCTTGTTGGCTGTTTTTGAATTACTTTCACAAAATCTCGAGCTTTATCATGCCTTACTAAAACAGCAAAACAAAACTCCCTTACCTCTCGGTTCCCTATTTAGCCTACAGTCTTAAATTTTGAAAAAGATACATTGTACTTTATAATGCTTTGCAGCCTTAAGAGATCTTTCTTTTTTATTATATCCAATCATCTTTCTAGCTACAGGTTTTTCCAGCTTCTTTTTTTTTTTAACTAGTACTCGCATACACGGTAAAGAGAAGCTCCCATCTCTATATGCTCCTAGTTTTCCACCCAAAATAACCAATATGTAAAGATGTTTTTTTATGTATATGTAAATAAGACAGGATTTTATAAATCTTAAATCACACCTGAAGTAAATATGCCCCAGATGTATTTGAAACACAACCATACTGATATGATAAGTTTTTTAATACAACTGAATAGATATTGTTAAAGTTTGTCATATCTGTGTTGCTTTAATAAATTCTTTCATTTGTAATTTATTCAATATTTAACTGTAAATTCTAGGTTTTTGACTCGGATGTTAGAAAATGTCAAGAAACTTCTGAGATGGAACATGAGAATGAAACGGATGCAACTGTTACTGGTATGAATGATTATTGCCTATTTTTATTGTCATATGTTCATACATAAAACACCTGTCTTGAAAAAACAGTTAATTCTTCTATTGAGTTTACTTTTTTTCATTTTATTGTTAGTTGAAAATTGAATTATTTTTTTTTTTACCCGAAGAATTATGACAAAATATATTCATTGTTTCATTTCTGGCTTTGGGTTTGTCTTAGTAATTAAGGAGTTCCTTTCTTACTGGACAAAATCTGTAATCAAGATGTTGAGGAGTTGCAGTATCTCACTGTAAGTCATAGTCACAATCCGAGGACGTGAGGGAAAACACTATTTTATTATCTAACATGCACTTAAAAATTATACATTTCTCACTGTATAGTAAATGGATTTACCACTGGGTCGAAATCCTCTGCAGATCATGCCAACAATCCGGATTCCATGAAGTTATCCATTTCAGCAGAAGATGGTGATAAAAGTCAAGATAATACAAGTTCTGAAACAGGAGCTCATTTGGTGCATTCTTCGGGTGATGGGAAACTGTCAGATTTACCGTCTTTGCACAAAAGTGTTTCTGAACCTTCTAACGTAACCGAAAAGGCAAGTTGGGTATAAAAACTTTGTAACATATAGGCAGACAGGACTTAAGTTATTTATACTTATAACACTTTATTAAATAAGTTGTATAATGGTTAAAACTTGAAACTTAAAACCTTTGATTAAAGTGTCAAAGTTATGTTTCTTTTGAGAAGGTAAAAAAATATATTTCATTTTTAATATGTGTCACATAAGAGGTTTGTTGGAATTAAGAAATATTTTTTGAGACTTTCATTCTAAATTTTATAAGAACAGTAACTTTTCAAATTTTTGATAGACTTTGAGCCCAGTTGTTTCTGGTTATTCAGCATTTGAAAGATAAACTTTTACATGCTGCACAAACTTTGGCTGTTCAACAGTCTGTTCTTTTTGTGTCTTTGAAAACCAAAGTATTTGATTTTTCAGCTGGAATAAAATAGGGGAAAGAAAATATTTATGTTGAAACAACATAGGTGAGGCTTAGTATGGTTGCAGGAGATATTGTGGTCTTTTTTATAATTGATTTAGGCTTCTATGTTATTTTAAGTTTTCTTTGAAACAATCTTTATTGAGTGTACAGTAAAATTACTTTAGACCTTAGCTAAACATCAGAAGGTACTGTAAAATTTTGTATCTACAAACTGCTTGTGTTTCATTCAATTTAAACTTTTAACTAGGTATTGTTTGTCAAGTTTTCATAGTAACTTATAATTAACTGTTTTGTTTAATGATATCATAAACTTTCATTATTACATTATCATCACGTGTTTTTGTTGAAATGTTTTAATACGTTTTATTTTTTAACATCAGTGTCAAAATTGAATAATATATATGTATATATATATATATATATATATGATATATACAAGCCATGTGTAAATATATTTAAACAGGCATGCATAGTTTAGTTCAATTGAATGTGTTATTTATAACAATAGTAGTTTTTTCTTCTTTTAAAAACATAACTATTGATAATGCTCCCTAAATAATGAAAAAAATAAATTACAGTGAAAGACAATGAAGATTTGTAGGTTTGTAACCAAACTAAGTAACAGTAAACCTTTTTTGTATTTACTTGTAT